TTAATTTTTTCATAAAAAAATTTAAAAACACGAAGTGATTAATCAATTTCTCAGAAATTATAAGGCCTATAGAAAAATGAAGTAGACAATATTTTTAGGAAATTTCATTCACTTTTATTTTCTATAATTTGCAATAAGATTGCTCAACTGGTCAGTGAGATATACATGATTAAATTTTTTTTTTGGTCGTATAACGGTAAATTGCAAATATCTCAAAACCGTATCCATAAAAAAAAATGTATTCGATTTTCGAAATCAGCGAGCGATTCCACGTACAAATTGGATAGTGGCGTTCATGGAACATTTTTTCTGTAAACCAGTGTTATTATTGTTTTTAATTTGTCTGTTACAAGTGCCTTTCGTTAAGGCTCGAAGGACCATGAATAAAACTATACGAAATTTATGTTTAATAAAAATGAATTTTGTTTGTATTTTCACAATGTCACAAACGGAATTATAATATATGTAAATGTTGCACAATTAAATTTAAATAAAAATAAGGGTCGACAAACGCGGCGACGAGAATCCTGTTCTGACTTGCTGGAGCTGGCGATGGAGTTCTCGCGATCGGAGGTCGAAAAGTCTAATCGCCGTAGAGTAGCGGCGTAGTGTCTCGGCRAATGTTGATGYGCTGCTTTGCTGATCGAATTTTATTCCCATCCCGATGTCCATCCTTTTTGTTGAGTGGGTACAGGTGTGGTGAGTTGTGTTGATGTGGTGTGCTGATGTAAGTGTATGGTGCCATCGGATGTGGTGTATTAAGATGTCCTGCTAGGGTGCGCCAGTTTTTCTCAGGTAGAAAGGGGTATACATGCGGGGAGATGCTTAAGTCATTTAAACAATAGTAATAATGTTTGGGCGTTGAAATTAAAACATCCAACATTTGTTAATATTATTATATATACATACAAATATCTGTTTAACATATGGCGAAACTATGATTTTGTGACATATTAGAACAACTGACTTTGAACTTTAAACCCTTAATACAGTGAAGTAAACGTATTAGCTCTCAATTAATATAATATATGTCTTTTTATTATTTTCAATGGAAAACTCATACTACGAAGCATGACACCACAAAAGATTTTATCACATATATTTCAAATTCCCGTTTTCTTTAATTTTTATTGTTTTACAATTATTTTTAATGATCTTGAATGGCCGCCCCTCTTTTTCCAACGCTAAATGTCAATATCTTCTGAATTCAGTTAACTGTTAAATTTCAGGTTATGATTAACTACCAATTACATGATAGTTGAGCATCTCTTTATTTTTGGTTCTAGCATGTGCTAAAAGAGCGTAAGTGAACAAAGAGGCCCGTTTTATTATGTTTCTATGGTTACAGTTATAATTTGTCATCATGTAAACGATCAAAATTAAATCCAACTATTAAAAATGGTTTACCTATTTATAAATAATAGTATTCTCAGTTAGTTTAAGAAAATTTAATCTATTATATATTCAAGTTTATTTTTTAATTATTACAAAATATCGAGGCCGACAACTCTGTATTGTAAAATAGTGAGCATCTGACTCGTTTCTAAGGGAAATATCCATTTTTAGCGGATATCTATTGCACAGACGGTAGGAGCGGTGCTGAGTGTAAATTTACATCAGAGATAAAGAGATCCCCAACTCTTCTGTCACTGGAAATGAAAGAACCGCTCACCTACTAAACTTTGACAGTTGACTGGATCTGGTAGGTTTTGACGTTTCGCTATTGGAATGACTGGAATCGACTTTTGGCTAATAAAAATTGTAAAACAGTGAAAATTAAAGAAAATTATAAATTTAAATATATTTGATGAAACGCAAAAAATATTTAAATAGTTTCATCACATTGTAAAAGTTCAGTATATATTATCACATATATTTCATCGTAATAAATATTGAGGGTTTTAATTGAAAACGCTTATTTTGAGGCGCTCTCACACTGGAATAAGTTTAGCAACCCTTTATCCGTGGATTCGGACTACGGGTTTGCGGCGATCACTAACTGAATCATTATGATGGCCCAAACGATAAAATCAGTTATTTAATAAATTTAATAAAAATAAAAAATAAAATTAGCATTTGACTGAATAGGTTGGTGCGGACAGAGATGCACTTCTAACGTATGACAATAAACAAATTCTTACTTGATAAAATATTATTAAGTGTCTTTTTAGAAATACTAAATTGTCCTCCCATAACCTAATTGTTACTTAACAAGAGATAATATTAATTGTGATACATTCATTTCAACGTACACATAATCACTTCGACGTGGACCTTCTCTTTCGACAAGCAGATTTTTTTTGTTCGTTATTTACCGTGCTGTGTGTTTGATTGCGGTCGTGCTCTTTCCTGGTCATGATGAACAAACGATTAGAGCTATTAGACTGACCAACTGCCTTATTAATGTATTGGTACATAATTTAGTTTTCGCTGTTTGTCAATAGATGGTTTTGATATATGTATCCAAATCGTAATAAACTTAACCTAGACATCTGAAAAGGAGTTGTGTTTCCCAAGACTTTGTTTATGTATCACATAATTTTGGTTGTGCATATATGTCCATTTATTCCAAATAATCGTCATTTGCGGGAAGTTTTGATTTTCTTCTTTTAGTCAAATAAATCGGCAGCTGAGGCACATCAGGAACTCCAAAAAGGTTAAGTGAAACAACGAGCCGTGATGTTGCCTTTGCTCGATTTGTATAAATAGTTTTGCTCACATCTAGCAAGTCGGACACTAAATGAAGCATTAGCTGCGCACTTATGTCCAGATATGTGAAAATATTAATTTTATTTATCAAATGCCATTTATCAAAATGGAAAGCAACTTAATTCCTTAGCAAATAGTATAACTTGTCCTGGCATTCACCTGGACAAATCTGTATCTGTAGTAAAGACATATCAAGCAAAATATGAAAATAAGACCAGCAAATTAAACTTCTATCTTAGCCTTCTAATAATGTTTTATTATACAAATCGGACATTAAACTAATTGGGATGAATGGAATTCGGCAGCTTACATATTATAGGATTGCTGTTCTATCGAAAATCCTCACATCAAATCTGATCTGATTTTTTAAAGGACTAATAATCGTTGGAGAAAAGTAGAGATTTCCGATGATGTAAAAAAATAGAAAATTAAAAAAGATACCTCACTAAACGCGACAATGCTCTTTTTTTACAACAATACCTCTTCTATTGTCGGTTAATTAAATTGGGTATGGTGCACTATTTACCAAAAGTTCAGAACAGCAATGTGATTCTTAGAATATAATTAAGCCACTTACCTGCGGGAAGAGTTTCTAACTCTCCATCAATATTTAATAACTCAATATGCGTTTGCTTAATCATTTTTTGTCTGTACTTCAGTCACCTAAAATAAATTCATTACAGAATATATAGGTATAATTAACTATCATGAATGATGCTATAATACCTATCTTATAGGAACATATGTACATACAGTTACGGACAATAAAATAGAATCATCCATGGTACTAATGTTCCGATAGAAAAAAAAATTAATTTGATTTAAATTAAACTAAGTTATATTTTTATTATTTACTTTATATCAAGTGCTATAGATAGCAGTAAAAATATTGGATAAAAACAATTCATAAATATTACAAAAACAAACATAAAAGATATATTTCAAAAATTCGAGGGGAAAAAAATAGATTCATAATTTTTTCTCCCAGAATTCTGTCTTATTTTTCAGTTTAACTGGTGCAATATTTTCCTTAACAAGTTTCCGTAAGTTTTTGATTGGATAGCGATCTGAAAACCATTTTTCACAAGACCCGAAATTTGTTTCGGATCGCTCTCTTGTTGGCATTACCAAAATGCAAGGCGAATTCTATTCAGCATTTGCGAGTATGACCTTAACTAAAACTTTAACGTATATATGGCGGTCTATGTTTTCTTGTATCCAAAAAATAGGTGCCGAAACACAATATGAGAAACAATGCTAAACCATTATCGCCACGGGGTTTGAAGGACCTAGTCGTGTAGCGGACGCACATTTCTTTGTTTTTTGGTTGCAACTATCATTTCCTACTATATTAATTTTGCATTAATGTGCCGTTTTACCAACTGAATACGATTGCGTCTATGCCGTTTTCTCAGCATTGGCACATATCGGAACCATGTGCCAAAGCAATTTTTCTCCACAAGTTGTCTTCGTTCTGTTCTTGAAGAAATTTTTGCACATAATTCTCATTGATTGGCTGCAGAGGCCTTAAACGGAACGCTCATCGACAATCTTGCAATATTTCGATAGACTTCCGCAGAAATTTTTTTGTGATCGGCCTGTTTTTGAAATATTTTTCGGAAATTTTAAGGCATCACACACATACACACATATTTTTGAGACATATTCTATATGTTTGCAATTTGCTTTACGCGTGACCCATTCCCTGCAAATTTGGACGCACAATCTTTCCTCCTCTGAACAATGTTTTGCTCGCCCCATTTTTTTTAATAAATGCATAATTGATACAATTATTCATTCCACAGATCTAATTAAGTTAATATCACTACTTATTACTTATGTATTTTAAATTCAATATTTTTCGTTTATGAAATCATTTTGTATTAATTCTATTATTTTGTCACTAAGCACGAAGCACTCTATTTACACTATTTAAATTACAGTTAACTGTAAAACTTGACAATGCTATATTTTCCTCTTTTTTAAAAGTACATACTATTGCCTTTGTTATTATGCAGAAAAGTTACTACAAAGAAAAATTTCAAAAAAAAAAAAATATACCATTGTTTCAAGGCGAAACCTTTCATTATGTATATGTACATATGTATAGTTTAATCTGAAAATATAACCAGCGAACGCACAATGGTCTCGCTTGTATGAGAGCCGAGGACATACATTTACATATATACTTTTAGATTAGACATCGTTTTAAAATTTCCGCAAAAAATCCATATACGATAAATATATTAAAAAAAAAACTTTGGCACATCTTGCGATATATCCTATAGCTCCCATGTAAATCAGTAACGGGTCGATCAATTTTTTTCTTTATTTTAAGAAAATCTGGCGGTGGTTTTACAAATAATAATATTAGGTTGTAAAGTCTTGCCGTATTTTTGCAGTATTTTTTTATTGAATTTTCAATTGTTCATAAAATTTTTTTTGATGACTCATGCCCAGCTATTGACCGATGCTACGGCTGCTACTATGCCGGTCTCTTTCGGCCGATTCAGCGATTTTATCGCAATTTTCGACGACAGGCCTTCCGGAGCGTGGCGCATCTTCGACCACCTCTACACCAGAACGAAAACATTAAAACCATCGCTGTGCGGTGGAAATGGAAACTGTATCGGGTTCATAAACTGCACAACTTTTATTGGCGGCTTGAGATGCATTTTTGCCTTTATCGTAATAGTACTGTAAAATATGCCGTATTTTCTCTTTATTTTGCTCCAGGTATGCGACGCTATAACTCACGAACGACTTAAAAGAAACGACAATCAATCAAACACGTTTTAGCGCGTGAAATGAGCTTTCCAAAAAGGTATAGCATGATTCGATGCGACGAATAAAACTAGAACCACGAGAAAATACCGCAAGACTTTTTTGACAATTCTGCAAAAAAGGACAGTAATAAAAGTAAAAGAAGGAAAGAAAAGTGTTGAATTATACCCTGATAATATCTTTTATTAAATAAATATATTATGTATATCAAACATAGGATTAATATTTAAAACACAATTCACTTATAATTCCTTATCAATCTTATCGCGCATTCAAAATGTACATATATGGTGCGTTCGTTACGCTAGTGATGCGCAATAATTCACCGACAGAACATGTTACTTTAGTAATGTTGCTCGAATTTCCGCATAGAACGTAATGCTTTCGCATCAAAGGCAACAGCGCCTCAGTAATTTCACAACGAACACACCCGACATTTGCTTTGCGGTTTCCCAAATTTTGCTGAATTATAGCGGGATTCTGCAACCAGTTTCTATTTGAGACATATTGAAATTGACACTTTACAATTTGTGACTAGTTACTATTTACTAAACAGTCCCTAGCGTTAGTCTCAAAATATTGCCTCAAATTTGAGACCTGATAATTGGCAAGTCACAAAACTAAAAAGAACTCTTCTCCGCCATTTTGAATATACTGAATAGAGATCATCATAGATTAATCGATTATCGTTTTTTTGTATTTTGTAAGCAACTCAAACAGGAAAAGGATAGCAATAACACAATTTTACATTAATTTCGTAAGTATTATGAAACAAAGTCAACATATATTTTTATTTTGATTGATAATTATGTTTTTTGACTAYGTTAGAGAAAATTTAATATTTGTTATCGACATATTTTTTTTTCATTCAAGTGTAAAAACATCTCTGAATATTGAAATGTAATAGATTTTGTAACTGTCACTTACAAACTAGCAAAATCGTCTCAAGTCTCAAAAATTGTCTCTAATACTATGTTCGGACCGACATTGAAAACATTTTGAAAACACATTTGTGGAATCTAAGTCGCTCGGACCGACAATGTGTGTTTTCGTTTTCACTGACAACTATCAAAAGTGGCATTCTTTCAAAATGCAAAAATCCTATAAAGAAATATGCAAGGCCAAGAGAAATGGAAAATTTTGCAATTTCTGCAGGGTGCAAGGTTTTACAAGAGCAAGAAAATCCCTTCAATATGAAATATCAAGCGACAACTGTGTTTGTATGTGGAATGTAGACAAATATCAAGTGACAATTTAGGGCCGGCAAAACATGTCTTCCCAAAACATGGATTAAACTAGAACAGGCACCGATAATAATGAGTGGATTGTAAGTTTTCAAGTAGTTTTCAGCGAAAACTTTGTTTTCGTTTGACAGATTTTACACGGGCGAAAACACAAGTTTTCGTGCGAAAACCAGTTTTTCCCACGAAAATATGTTTTCCTTGTCAGTCCGAACATAGTATAACTTAAAATCTCAAATTTAGAGACTTAAGACTACACTTTGTTCAAAATGAACATGTGTGTTGATGCCAAAGGCCATAACTTAGACAGTATGCAGAAATATATATACATAGCAATATACGAGTATGTACATATTTCGCTTTTTTTTATTTTTCTACATATTGGGTAGGATGGGAGTCATGTGTAGAAGTTCACGCAAGTGAGGAAAGTTTTCTGATCGCCATTCACGTGGGAGTGGCCAGAAACGATTCTTTTACATATGACTCAAGCAGCTCACGACTTCCGGTCCTTGACCAAGTATCCTCTGGATAGCCTAAGAACATCCGTTTGAAGGTGAGCTAAAGTGAAAAGGCGAAACATTCCCTGCATAGGGTT